ATGTCGTTGTTCATGTAATGTTGTTTGATGATGATGATGATGATGAGAAACTTGGAGATGAATTTCACATTCGTCAGTGCAACTGTGGACAAGGAAAACTTGAAAGGCTTGTGAGTGTTTCAAGTTCTGGTGAAACTTCGTTCTTGATCATGAGCAGCCGTTTGAACTTTGGGTTTAGGCGCAGTATTACTACTACTAAGTTTTGTGGAGCAAAGACGAAGGAAATTAAACGCGTGTGAGAGGTACCTGGAGGCGATTCAGAATTCAGATACGTACCTCAGCTCTCGTCAGGTGTACACATCTGCGCCTGTATCCTATCGCCAGAACGCACCGTGACTCCTTCAGGTACTTACCCCTCCCCATACATAGGCTAAACATAGACCCGGCGCGGATTCCAGGACGCTGACGTGTCTCGGAAGAGGCCTAGGGTTATCATGGTCATCTGTCGTCCGTACGTACGTGGTCATGGGAGACTGACAGAAGATTTAAATTTTTTTGCTGTCTTTACATTAGTAATGTTCATGGGAAGTTGAAGCTGTATTCGTCAGGAGAGGAACACGGAGCGAACCTTTACGCATCTTAGTAACATTTATTCTGTGAGTTACGTCCCAATCGGCCAGATGATAAATGAGAGACTGACGATTTCTCGTCTATGCATAATGGTCATGCAAATTCGTCATTATGAAAAATCACAAACTTGGGTATTTTCCGAGTCATCTTCTCATATGAGGACGCATATCCGCGCTGAACAGAACGAACATTTACTCATCTATATAACATTGATTCTTTTTTTCACGTACGAAGGTATGTATGCACGTATGTACCAAGACAATAATAATATCGGGAATCCACTGTAAGCTAGGTATCAGTACCAGTATCGAGGAAGAGGGAGGGGAATAAACAGATTAGGGATTAAAACGTTTTTTTGTGGCACAACTCCAATCGACCAAAAAAAAAAGCGACAAGGACGAAGAAAGGGAGGAGGATTAAAGAAAGTACAGGTTAGCCATATCACCAGCCCAAAAAAAAGAGCACGCATATCATACAAAAGCAGTTCAAAGCACCACCCCCCTCGCAGACCGCTCCCCACCCAAAAGCCTCCTCAACGCACCAACCAACACCCCCCCTCCCCCATTGTTGCCTCCATTCCTACCCCTCATCCGCCCTCTCTCCTCCTCATCACCCTCAGCATCAGCATCAACCTCCGCCGGCTCCCCCAACCCCTCCACACTAGCAAAAGAAACATACCCCTCAATCTTACGACACCTCGCACTAGCCTTACGTGCGTTGAACTGCGGTGATCCCCCTACGCTTCCTGCCTGTCCTTGAGGGGGGGAAGGAGAATACCCGTAAGGAGGAAGGGAATGGAGTGAGGATGATGAGGAGGTCGAACACGTATCATCCCCTTCCCCACGAGAGACAGGAACGGGAACGGGGGCGTGTGTTGGTCTGCGGGGTGTGAGCCTCGTTTTGACGGGGTACGGCGACGGGTGATATTCCTGTTCTTGGAATTGGAAGGAGCTGGAGAAGGGTGGGGTAGGTGGTGGTGTTAACAGTCTCGCGTCTTCGTCCCGTTCGCGTTCGCGGGATTGAGAGTATTTGCTTCGGTGTGATGGGGTGGTGACTTGTTGGTGGTGGGGACGAGGAGGTGTAGGTGCAGTGGCGTTCCGCCTCGATGACGCCGTAGTCGAAGGAGGAGCATGAACGGGGTGAGGGTCCGTCTTACTTCTGTTCCTCGTAACGTTCACACGTGTTTCGAATTGGACATGTTCTCGAGTTTGGTTGGGGATGTTTGAAGAGGAGGACCCGGAGGAGGTTGAGTGTGGTGGTGTCGACACCAACTGTGTGCATCACCATACTATCAGAAAACGAAGATAACAAGGGAAAGAAAAAGAGAGAACGTACAGAAGGACTATCATATTCCCTCTCCCTCCAAGGCCACCCATCAACTTCATCGCGAACTTCATTACTCCTCCTCCTCCTTTCTCTTTCCCTCTCCCCCTTCGTCGTCTGGACACTCTGATCAGAAACGACGCGACCAGCAGAACAAAGCACCCTCTCCAACCTTGCCCTCAACACCTGCTCATGCGGCGTCATCCCCATCGGCTCACCAGGACGAGGGGAGGGGACAAGTACAGCCGGAGGCCGATGTTTCCCCTCGCGCGGTCTACCAGGTTGCGATATAGACGCTTGGCGGGACATCCCGTGTCCGTGTGAAGGGAGGAGTGGGGAAGGGTGCGAGGAGCGATTACGTCTTCCTGAGGAAGGTGAAGGAGATGGACTGCGCGGTTGTGCGCCACGCTGCTGGTGTTCAGGGGAACCGTAGTAATGCGACAGGGTATGATTGAATGTGTGGCGTGAGGGAGAAGGGGAGGGTACACGTGGTGCGTTCATCGCTGTGCGGAAGAGGTACGTTCCACGGGCGGCGTAGTTGTCTTCCCCACCCTGGGGGTGTGGGCTAACGTTGACTGAATGTCTCCTCCTATGCGTCGGGAGACGTTCCTGCTCGTCTCGTTTGAGGGTGTCCCTTAAAAGACGTTCAGAGCGGGAAGGGGGACGGTGGTGTGGTGTTGTTGGTGAGGGCGGTTGGGTGAGTGAGGTGGTGGTGGCCATGTCGAGGTGGGATGCGAGTGGTGTTAGTGGGTGTATAAGTCGTAAATTTGAAGGACGCGTTGGTGTTGGTGTTGGTGAGCGAGGTAGCACAGCGTATGATGGTATGGGGCTGAGTAGACCAAGGGACTGTGTATGTCGGTGCAGCCTCGCGTCTATGGAGTCGAGTGAGCAACAACAAAGCTTTTGTGTTGAAAGAGAGCTCACTTTTCTTGGGGGAAGAAGAGGAGGAAACAGCCTCGGCGTGGCCTGGGTTATTATTCAGATTGGACGGGGGACAGGTCCGATTGGGTGCGTGTCCAGGCATGCTTTTGCGGAAGAGATATGCTACGATCCAGAGATATGACAGCTACCCTCGAATAAGGCAACACCACCTGATGACCCAAATCTAAGCTGGCTCGCAGCTCGCTTGGGTATGCACACGAGGCGACAAACAACGGAGCCAATGATCGCTCTGCCCCCCCTTTTTCCTTGTTTAGCTACCAACAAGAAAAGAAGAAAGTGGGCACTGGGCAGCGGAATGCTTGTTGTCGGCTGGTGGTGGTAGAAAGGAATGGAATGAATGTAGTGATGAGTGGTGAAACGAAAGGAAAATGATACGACCGTGCGATTTGTCTCGCCAACAACGCGGGTCGCACCCTAATAACCTATTTTAGGTATCACCCCAGAAATTATGAATGAACGCCGGTCCTTGGCCGTTGTCATCCCCCTACTTTTTTGTCAAACACAAGCAGTCAACGTGAAATTTCATCTCCTTTGCAAAACAGGGTTACTAAGTAATCTCTTGATTCCCGTGTCACTCGGAACCGGGTGAACGCGACCAAGAAAAAAAAAAGGTATTCGGTGTTCCGCCTTTTCCTTAGGCTACAGTAAATCAACGACCCCCTTGGGCTGGGCTGGGCTGTGCTGCCGACGCCGCCATCACAGAAACCCTCCGGCCGCCCGGTGTCTGTTTAGCTTTTAGCACTCCCGGCCCTGCGACTCCGAGTGAAGCGTAAGCGTAACGCGTAACTAACCCCGTCCCGAGTTCACGCCAGACCGCGGGTCGAGGTTACCTGGTTCTCGACTTCCAGCGACTTCCCCCCGACTCAACGTCTATCCCCGCTTTCGTCAGGGTTGCCTTGAACGACCCTGACGCAGTGCGGAGATTTTTTGGCTATCGACGATGGGGGACGGACGAGCTCGACCAGGGTGGCCTTTGTGTCTTCTTTTCGGATGGTCGGGAGGGTTGGAGGTTGGAGATGACGATGGATTGCCAGTGAAGATAAAGGATAGAGTCAGACTACGTTCAACAATTCCACCCTCGAGGGATCCCAGGCGTGAAGGATGGAGCGCTCTGAGAGTCCGCCCTCATTCCATATTCACCAAAAACAATACGCAGCGGCACCGCATCTTTGTATGTATATTCCACGTTCCCGTCGATCTCAAACCTTCACCTATATCACTGATAGTAATATCAACTTTACCGCGCAGTTTACGTGCAACTCAACTCAATGCAATGCGCGGTGTTAACGTTTTTGCTAAACTCAATACGCGGCCTCTATAGCAAAACACGCACCGCTCGAGCTTGAGCGCCGGGGTAGCGAATCGGCTCTTTAGAATTGTGATTTCGTTGTAATTGAGGTAAGTAGTGATGATAAAGATTGCCAGTGTCGACGGTTCATGAACTTCCTCCAGCGAAAATTCTCCAATCGATAGATGATCAAGCGGTGTATCAACGACGCGTTTGCTTTTTTGGATGCCTTTCTTCGAATGAAACGGCGCACTTGACATAAGTATATGCGCTCTTTGAAATCACGTACAAAGATCATTCGAGTCGACGCGCATTGGACGCACATTTGAATTCAATACCCTACCGCTCAACCACTGTCAGCGCTCAGCGCTCAACGCTCAAGATTATTGTGATGCTCAACATACAACTTCAAGTTCGCAAATCCGATCACACTTCTTCCTTCTTCGTCCGTCCAGAAATAAACACACCCCTCCCACGAAAACTTTAAGGGTGGCCAGCGGACCGGACGCAGATCGTCTTGGTGATCGATATCTCATGGCTGCAGTACGTTCATTTGCCAGTGCCCGGCATATAACCACTCTATTTCCCAAACATACGATCCCAAGAACTGAGAGGATGAATGATGGAAAACATACCATGTATGTGCACACGTGACTCACTCCCGAAATCGGGGACAATGCTGTTCGAACTCTCACACAAACCCTTCTCATTACTCACACAATGACGTCGGCGCAAGTTGGCGACGTTAACGTTGACGTCGTCGAGGTGGAGCCGAATACTCTTCTTCGAACTTTCGTACTCGGGTGAGCTTGAGTCGTTGGGTTGGGTTGATCAGTTGGAGGTAAGTACGTACGTACGTACATATGTCCTGATGCGCGCCAAACACTCATCATGAGATCAAGTACGCCGCTGCCCCCGTCGAATATTCCTTCTGAAGATCATTTAAACAAGTAAACACTCGGAACTTGAAGCACCCCCAAAATCCATTGATAACACTTCAGCTTTTTGAGAAGAACGGCCCTGATTTCCTGAAAAACAAGAAATTGAACTTGTTACCCCTGTACTGCCAATTTGAATGCCCATCCATCCCGGAGGAACTTCAAGGATCTACGTAAGTAGAAAATCAAGACGACCCTGCACGCATTGTAAAGATCAAGACAATCCCTGGGTGATACTGTGGCTTACTGTGGGCGATCAGCAAGCTCGTTGCGCACCGCGTACAAGAGTACGCAATCCTTCAGGTTGTTTCTTACAACTGTGAATATGTAATGACCGACGGTATGAAATGGCACATCATTATAGGAAGCTAACACTTTCAAAAAAAAAAACATCCAACGGTTCAAAACCACGATGGGAAACGTCCATGTGGTCAAGGTGATTTGAACGGAAGTAATGAATTCGAAGACAAGAAGAAACATCCCTGAACACTTTATTTTTTTTTCGACCCTCGGAAAAAAACGGTCGATCAAGACAATCCCTGGGTGATACCGTGGGCGATCAGAAAGTTCGTGAGCACCACATACTTACAAGCGTACGCTCTGTCTGGCAACAATCCAGATTTTTTCTTACAGCTATGAAATATTTAACAAATGGCACATAGGAAGCTGACACTTACAAGAAAAACAAAACATCCAACGATTCAAATACATGAGGGGAAACGTACATCTGGTCAAGGTGATTTGAACGGAAGTAACGGATTTGAAGACAAGAAGATACATCCCTGAACTCTTTATTTTTTTTTGACCCTCGGAAAAACGGTCCTGACATTCAAGACAACCCTAGGGTGCGCATCACACAAAGGTACGGCTCCACTATTTATACGCCTACCTACAACCACTCAATTACCCGCCACTGGGCCGGGGCCGATGATAGAACGGATCCTATGATGCAATCACCGACTTGAATCCCGCTTTCAAGCTTTCATTGGGGCAGAGCATATGTGACCTTGGAATCGGTGCACACTGCACATGCGCATGCATCGTCTGATGATCTTGTCAATTGAAGGTATGTGTACATTGCACAGGGAGGGTAATTGACATTCATTCATACAGATGCGCGCGATGCGGAAGCGATGAACCAACGCCGTTAACGCGTCCGTCGAATATTCCTGACCGCCGGAGGGAAGGGGGGGCTGAACAGCGGCGTTCAAATTATGGGATGAACCCAAACGCTCTGGAGTCGATCTCGACTCTCGGGCTCGCATTACGATCGAACTAGCCACGCGTGGACGATGAGGTTCATCACCTGTACTTGGGACCAGGTTCGACTCGCTGGATATCAAGATCTGATAGAACTCGACCCGGGGGGTCGATTTAAAATTAAGTGGATCTGAGGAAGAAAATCACCTCGAACCCCTCTTGCTATTTATACATCACGCTCACCCCCATCAACACAGACGCTACTGACAAAAAAGTCACCGAATAATCCAGTTAAATTTATCCTGAGGATAATGCACACTGGTGGCTTATCACGGGTGCTCGAAAATTCCTGACGCCACTCACGTTCAATTATCCACGCGCCGTCCTCGTCACTGGGAGCGTGAGGTATTTTGGCTGGGAACGAGAAACGCGTTTATCGATAACGAACTCCACTGCACTGCGCTTGCCAAATGCTGTTCAACGCAATTGGTATGTCTTCTAAGTTATCAGTCTTCGTACTTGCTCCCTAGTCTTTCACATTTTAGCACTGTTCAAGTGGGACGAGAGGGGTTTTTGCTAGCACAATAGGGTCTTGAGCGATTTTTGCGCTGGTCACCCACTTGGAATTTGGAGGCGTCGGACCGCGTGGCGGAGGGTAAGTCGTCACGTACATTTTTATCAAGAGTATGCCCCGGGGCTTGAATAATCACTTGACGTCTGCATCAATTACTTTCAGTCTCTTCTAGCGAAGCCTACGGCCACGGCAGAACACCTGACGAGTCGCCTCGCGCGGAGCAAGCGTGACGGCCTATACCACACCATCCGTCGACACCGTAGCCACATGACGACATGCCTTCATCATGCAGCCCAGTGGCAGAGCATCTATGCATCAAGATTTACCGCCTTCAAATCACATCACTCCCCCAAGCTCCGAGTGTAGAATAAGCTTTTGGCTATCCAGTAAAACATGATCGTAATTATAGATCGGTACGTCAGAGCCATCCTGTTGGCCCCTCTGGATTTTTCATATCGGTGATCAGGCCATTCATTTATGAGGGAGACCAACCGAAACATAA